TCTCTGCAGCACTCATCACTCACTACAGCAGTCATCGGCAACCCTTAATGCGACAGCTCTGTGACCAGACCCATAAACGCCCTATGAAGCTTCTGTGGGCCTCCTTACAGTTCAGGGCTTTGGCGCTGCCCGAAGCCACGACGAGAGGAGCTTCACAAAGGCCCGTTTGCCCAGAAGCCGGCCAGGCAGCCGTAATAGCAAGCTGCTGGTGCGTAACAGTGCAAGAGTAGATATGCAATGATGGAGCAGAGCCTGGGTTCAAAAGATATGAGATGCACTTTGCAGGCTACAGTGCTCTCGCTGTGAGCTCGTGCGATCCTCGGCACCGTAGCGCACAGCCCGAAGTACAAGGTAGGTGCAGGTCATGCCGTTTCTGAACGACAGCTTGCTGAAAGGCCCAAGCGGGCGCGGGCAGAGCAGATAGATTCGAAGGATTTGGGGAGGTACCCCCATGACAGAAAGCTTCGCGTCTGCCCAAAGCTGGATCAAGGCCCCGGGTGAGAGATGCCAGAATTCAATGGTTGCATGTCCTCTTTCTCGCTGTGGTGGTGTCGCCGGCAACCGGAACCATTGTTTCGTATCTTGCCCAGAGCCTCCAAAACCCCTTGACGAAGGAATATACGTTAAATCATGTTAGGGGATCCTAGTATATTTTAAGTAGATTCCTTAATGAGGGGTTTTGAAGTATCTTGGTGGTTGACTTATAGTCTCCTTGGGAAGATTTCTTCATTTTGTAATATAAGACCCAAGAGAATATTAAAACTATGATTTTTATTATGGTTTTCAGGGGGGTATAGTGAGGGTGTTGAAGCTTCTTGAAAGGCAACCGGCCTCGGGGTACGGAGCTTGAAGAAGTCGCCGAGACTCGCCTGACGAGGTTACCAGGTTCTTTAGGGGCCTTCATTTTCTACACTATCTTGGGGGGTTCTTTTGCTATACCCATACTATGATTTACCCCTAAAACCTTAGCTCTAATTATACCTAACTATTATTATGACCCCTAAAGTACCTGTTGCGAAACGGGTGTGTTCTAGCCTAGGTAGCCCTACAGCTCAGCCCAGTATCACCGGTTCTTGCAGGCAATATCATCCCGTGCATGCTTTGCAGCTGTGCATTTCCATGGCTGATGGCTGAGAGTTTCGCACGAAGAGTTCCGAAGAAGTGTTTTTGGGAGTAGAGCGTGGAGGTAGAGCACCTGCACGCAGCCCGCGCATGATCCCCTTGGCCATGAGCATCGAAATATCTTTGTGGCTGCGAGCGAGGTCTCGAACAGCAAAGCTGCAGCGGGAAATTCTTTGCGTCCAACACTAGTTCTCTGCTGGTGCTGGATTTCGGTTCCTAGCTCAAGTGACTCAAGTACGTCTCTCACAACCTTCTGCATCTGTACTTCCCTTTAACATAGCTTCCATCTCTAGTAAAGCGTTTCAACTTCCTACAGATGTTCTGAACGCGAGCAGCTCTCCGGCAATTGCACAGGTTAAGTTAACGTAAGGGCTCCCGTATACCAGCATCATGATGGCTGTATGCTGCTCTCTCTTTCTTGCAGCTGTGCCGTTCGTATCTTCAGCCTTATAACTCTTATGCTTGTTTGTGCCATGCCAGGCTATGGTTGCTGGGCTCCATACAACCCACCAATCGCAAGGCTTGCAGAGAGCCTCTTGTGGCTTTACAGGGCGAGACTGCGCAGTAGATTCGCCGACTAGCAAGCCTCCACAGACTGTAGATGTAACTTGCAACGTGCTGTTTTACCTCATACAGGCATGTAAGTGCATTCACGTTGGGGTTGAATGTCCTTAGTATAGGCATTGACTATCAAGTTTGCTTGGTTGCGGGGTCTAGCGTATTCGGCAGGCCTTGCGTCTAGAAGTTCGCTAAGGTTTCGACTCTGCAAAACAAGGATTCAACAAGAGCACTGCCTTTCGAAACACTTGTACCAACTACACCTCTACCATGCTTGAGCCGAAAGCTTCATCAAATCCAACGCTGCCATGGAATCCGAAGCCGACGCCACGGAAGGACTGGCATCGTGAAGCGTAAGACCCTTAATTGCCCATGATGAGTCTTGCAGGTATGGGTACCAAGTGTCAGGTTAAGGACATTTTGCCGCGAGAACAACTCAACCCTGTGCGACGGCAGATACCCGCGACACTCACAGAACCCGAGAAGCACGATGATTTCCAGCTCCAAACAACAAATCGGACTAACAGCCACATAAACCCTCGAAGCCATGACAGCACTGCAATGCGGGCTTCGTCCTTGCAAGGTAGGAGGGAAAAATGACAGCACTGGCTGTGAAGTGTGGAAGTGATCGAGCACCTTCATGTTTCTTTGGTTTCTGCTCCTTCCGAAATGCAAGTCGGCGCTTTCTGACTCCTTTGATCCTATTTAAGCAATTCCAATCCTCCAATGCAGACACGTCCTTGCGAGGCAGGAAGCAATAATTTGTCGAATCCCCAGGCTCCAGACCCTGATGCCGTAAAGCACAGTCCCTGGCGTGCTTTCAGTTTTACTCCTTGTGAGCCTTCACTTCACGATCATGACTTTACTTTACCATCAATATGTTTGTCATGTGCCATCGCTGTTCTTATCAGTTCTGCAGTGAGAACCATTGTAATAAGAATAGTAAGAACAATAGTACTACCACGAGTGCCTGCTCGGGCTCTTATCTATGTTCATTTCTATATCGCTGCAAAACCTTGTACAATCCCCTACATGGCGGCTTCTTCTAAAATCGTTTTACCTTACCCCTAAACTCCCAAACCCAAAAGAGTTTGACTTTAACCGCCTGAACCCTAAACTCCTAAACCCCAAAACATCGAACCTTAACCGCTTTAACTTTAAACCCCTAAACCCCAAAAAATTGAACCAAACTCCCAAACCCCAAAAAGTGCGCTCACATGCCCAGGAGCTGAAGACGGCGCCCGGCCCCGGCGCCTCCTTCGACTGGGACAAATCTCCCGGCAGCTCGAGCTCGACCCTCAGTTTCGGCGGGGGGCCCGGGAGTTTGGAGGGGTTTAGGGTTTAGGGTTTAGGGCGACCTTGAGAGCCCAGCTTGCCGGCATACAACCAAAGCCCGTGCTCAAAAAGGGCTGGGCGGGTTTAGGCGGGTTTGGGGTTTTATGGTTTAGGGTTGGGGGGGGGGCTCAAGTGTGGGGGCTCTATGCGTCGGGTTTCATGTTTCGTGGTGGGTGAGGAGGGGCTTATGGCTTTCAACCCCAGAGGGCTGCTCACTTGAATGAAAGATTCCGATTGCAGGCACCAAGTTGAAACTAGCTGCTCGCACCGCACGGGTTTCGCAGGTTCTATTTCTCGGACTCGAACTTGGCCCGTGACTCCATCCTACGGGAGGCATGCCAGTATACTACAATATTAGAATAAGGAATCCCCACATTAGTACTAGTAATTACCCAGGCCCCTATAGTAACAGCAGGCCCTCCCTAAAATCAGTTCCAGTATGATTGAGCTAGTTACTTGAGGTTGGGTTAGTGGTGTTGAAGCACGATCTCCCACCGTACCCTACAAAAAGCATCCCTCGAAGACCTTCCGCATTCCTTGTTGCTTTTCCTTGGTGGCAACCGTGTGAAAAAGAAAGGTTGTGTCACAAACGCACAAACACGAGCACAAACACTGAATGTTGCAACCCGCACAGCAAGCCCCAAATATGTCCCCAAACGCACATGTCAATAGCACACCGATGAAGCATCCGGTGAAGGTGCTCACTGACGGCCGTGGTGGTGTTGAGCTTGCCTGGCTGCTTGAGAGTCCCAAGCTTCGTGCTTGGGGTTCTTGGCCGAAATGGTTGGGGCATTTGCTGGTTCGAGTTTGTTCGTGTCACGCCCAACTGAGTCCTCATAGCATCGCACAGCAACATTTTGTCCTGGAGTTCAAGCGCATTGTGTGGTCCTCTTCGGCGAGTAGGACTGAGTGGCGATTCGCCGCAGATTGGTTGAAGATGTTGTATGCAGAGGGAGGTCTGTCAGGCTTATTTCAGGGTCTGCTGTCTGACGATCAGGCCGACGAGATCACTGTTGGAGGTTTATAGTGGAGGTCAAGAAGACCAATATATCAGGTTTGGTGCATCTTAATTCCTAAACCCTGAACCCATCAAGGCGTTTCCGAGCCTGCGCAAGAGGGCAAGAGGCAAGAAAAGCCCCAAGCCCGAAACCCCAAACCCTATACTTTGGACTATGCGGAGCCTTGCCTGCCGCGTGTGAGCGTGGAAACCCCAAAACCTAATTATAACCCTGGATCATCCTGGATCCTTCAAAAAAAACTAGGTTGGATTTTGGGACATTTTTTATTTTCCTTATTTGGGTTTACAAGGGACCCTATATATGATCCCGGTTCTCGGTTCACCGAACCCCCCCCCCCCCCCCCCCCCCCCCCCCCCCACGCTCCCCAAGCCGAATCTGTGTGTCCACACGAGGGCTCACACGCCAAGCAGACCCACGCAGGAACCCCAAACCGCACCACACCACACTACACCACACCACAGGGAGGGTGAAGCGACCCACAACCACACCACACCACAGCAAACCCACGCAGGAAACCCAAACCACACCACACCACAGGGGGGAGTGGCCTAGGCAGACCCACTCCCGAACCACACCACACCACACCACAGGGAGGGGGAAGCAACCCACAACCACACCACACCACAGCAAACCCACGCAGGAAACCCAAACCACACCACACCACAGGGGGGAGTGGGGTAACCAGCCTAAGCAGACCCACTCCCGAACCACACCACACCACACCACAGGAGGGGGAGGAGGAACCATTGGGGGGGGAGGGGGGGGGGGGCCGGCCGAACCGGGATCATATATATATATATATATATATATATATATAAATCTCTTTCAGGGTGTTTAAGGGCCAATCCAGAAGAAAAATATAACCCTGGAACCCTAGACCAGCTCCCCCGGCTGGACTATCCGAGCGCTGGAATCAGCTCCCGGGCCCGAGGCACCACGCCCGCAGAGCTCAAAGAAGCTGTGCAGATGTCATCGAAGCTGGAGCTCCTCGAAGCTGAGGTGGAGGGTTTAGGGGCTTGGGGGTTGGGGGTTTAGAGTTTAGGGTTTAGGGGTTTTAGGGGTTTAGAGTTTAGGGGTTTTAGGGTTTAGGGAGAGGCCCGGAATTTCAGGAAGCAGGAGGGGGAAGGGGGGAAGTCTTATGTAGCTATGCTTGGAATGGGGATCTTAGTGTTTATAAGGTTTGTCTGGAGTTTCAAGGCTTGTCTTGTTTCGGGCTTCCTTTCTCTCATGAATTGTAAACCCAGAAGGTTTTCTTAACCCTAAACCCTTAAACCTAAACATTCAATCTCAAATTTGATTATGGGTCTACTCACATGGACTCCTAGGGGAGGGGGGGGTAGGGGACTATACTTCCTTAGATTAGCCTCATCACGTCCTCATTATGGGTCTAAGGGGCTAGGTGGCGGGTAGCGTATAGACTCAGAAACAGGGAGGCCTTGGAGTTGGAAAAGTTCGTATCTTTCCGTATGGTTAGCATCTAACTATATGTATTTCTACGTGTGCATTTGTCTGTTATCTGTGTGTATATATGTATACAAGTATAACACACACCCATACACACACACATATATATATATATATATACATATACATACACACACATATATATATATATATATATATGTATGTATATGCTATATGTAGATACGATGAGCTTCAGGTTGCGAAAGTTTGCGAAGCTAGCGGCCGGCAGCACTTTGTTGGTTGAAAGGCTCTGATTTGCTGGGGCTTGTGGCTTCCCATTCTGTCCTGGGGCGGGGCCGGAGCCCTGAACTAGGCATTATGTGTTTTTTTGGTGGCCTGCATAGGTAGAAAGGTATGGAAACAGTCTTCCAAAGCATTCAGCCATCGAAGTTCAATCATTGCAACAATGGTTGCTGCATCCTCCGCCCCACCTGTGAAAGGATGTTTGCGAAGCGGGCCATTCGGACCACATCGTTGGAATGCGAAACACACCGCCTTTGCTCCTTACAAGACCTTAAGAATATGTTAGTATTCGTGTTGCAGTTTATCGAGGCCTGGTGCTGCCAAGCGAGCCTGACTTTCCACACCATCTACCTCCCTGTGTGTGGGAAAATGAACAGTTAAAGGGTAATTGAGAACAAAGCATAGACTTCTGCATAAACCTTACCCAGAGGCCCCGTAGCAGTTCCTTTTGGGGATTACCTCATAAGATTCTACATGTTCCCCAGAAGGAACTACTATGGGGCCTTAGGGTAATTCAAACGAGGAGACATGCGAAGACAAGGACAGCCACAGAGCACCAAGGAGACGCAGGCTTCACTTGCGAAAATCTTTGACGGGACGGAGTACGACGGATGCTCGCAGAAGCATATCATATACATATGTATGTATATATATATATACATAGCAGATGTATCTGTAACATATAATCTATATAGACATATACATATACATTTCTGTAATATGCATATGTACATATATATATATATATATATATGTTGTTGTTTCTTAGATGTTTGCAACTTCCCGAAACCAAACGCTGAATCGGGCTCTCGAGTCTGAACCGGTATGTATGCAGGCTTCGGACACAGAGAAGCTCGCCCAGGTACGTCGAAAGGCAGGTTCGATTTCCTGCATAGCCTAAGAGGGTCCATACACACTACTATTATGGAACTAGGCCCCAAAAACCATAATGGGGATGGTCTTTTGGGACCTAATTCCATAGTGGCAGTGTCTATGGACCCTCTGGGTAGGTTTAAGTTTCTAGGGCAGGCACGACCATGAGACATTCCCACAAGCAGCATGTGTACTTGACAGTCGCGTCCAAAGACAGAATCAGACATGTCTGTGCCATTGTGGAGCTTGACTGGAATCTGAGCAGAGGACGATATGCCATACACCCCAATACCCGAATGTTCTAAAGCACATCGAGATGTGTCTACCCTAACAAAACAGCCTTGAGACCTCGAAGCTACCAAGGGGCGGAGTGTACAAAGTAAAGCGAGTGTACAAGAATATTAGTGTTCTGAGACACTGCAGGAGAGACGGCTCCACGGGGTTCATTACGGTAGGAGGTTTAGGTTTAGCCTCGGAGGTCTCATAGTCTTGAAGCCGGTGCCCAAAAAAGAGATTTATATGTCGATCCATCGAGTGTGCGGCTCTACGATTCAAGACTTTGTTGCATGAGGTTCGGGGTTTGGGGAGTGCTGAACGTGTCCACATTTGCATCCTGCTGGCTTGTTCTCCTGTTTGTTGTCACGTCCACGTCGGCGGCGGTAACGGAGACGAGAGTAGATGCCGAGATAACCTGGATGAACAAAAAACAGCTTGCTTATGCAGTTTAGTGATGCCAGCGATGCCACTGGGCATGCTGTTTGTACACGTATCGGTTTGATGATTATACTGATGCAGTAGCAGCTGCTGCTGCTGTTTCTTCGGTGAAGGTGGTGGTGATGATGATGATGGATGAGGAGAAGGAGGAGGCTTCATCATTGCAGTCATCTTCATTTTCTTCTGTATAGGTATGCAGAAAGACGTAACTGCGGGGATAAGTACATATACATGCACAGCACATGTGTTTACATAGCTGGATGCATGTGTGTATACATATATGTATATGCACATGTATCTTTCCTGTTGGCTGATTTCTGTGTGTATGTGTGCATGCGTATATGTATACATATACGTGTACGTGTACATGCATGTATATTTGCATGCATGTATGCATGCATTTGTAACTGCCTTATGTACTTGGATACGTATATGTAAACGGTAGATGTACATGTAAACATACATGTATGTACTTATGTAAACCGAGTATTTACAACTACAAATGCAAAATGCAATCACAAATGTATCCCCCCGTTGTTTGTATGTATTATATATATATATATATATATATATTATACATATACAAACGTACCAATCAGTCAAGTGAAAGCGTGCACGCTTACTAACATGATCAATACCAGTGGTGTTCTGTCGGTCATCCTCGGCTCGAATCTTGCCGCTGCTAACGCCATTCCGACGTGTACTGCTCTTGTCACATCGGCAGCAGTATCAGAAACACAACGCTAAACACCAGCATGGGAGGGAATATATTATCCATGACACTCAACACTGCCATCTTCGTCTTGCGGCGACATCCCCACGATCACAATTACCTGATTCAAACACACGGATGCCGCCACAATCACCATCTTCGACAGTCTCATTGTCATCATCATCATCTGCACCCTCATCATTGCCCTCACCATCAACATCAACATTGTCACCATCATCATTCTCGTCGTCATCAGTGCGGTCATCGTACAGCCTACATGTTGCAGGCATCACGGCTCGGGCTTCTCCTTCAACCGGAAGTGTAGACATGGAACCGAGTGAGTCTGAAAGCGCAACAAATGAGACAGCAAAGACAGAACGAGAGAAGGAGAGAGAGAGAGAGAGAGAGAGAGAGAGAGAGAGAGAGAGAGAGAGAGAGAGACACAGAGAGAGAGAGAGAGAGAGCGCGCTGGGAGCCTATAGTAGATTACATGCTAGAGTTGTGGGGTCCAGCCGGTGCTCCCAGCGTCCACACCTAGTTTCACGCAGACCGGACACGAACAAATGCGTAGCGCTTGCGCGCAGGGGTCCTAGGGTCTTCCCCCAGGCTGCAAACGCCCGGCAAGCCAGCAAGAGACAGAGAGCGAGGTGAGAGAGACAGGGAAAGGGAGTGTAAGAGCGAGAGAGCAAGAGACTGAGAGATGGGGAGGGGGTGGGAGGCAGAGCTGGAGTTGGAGTTGAGAAACTCAAATGCGAGGGGTGATGAGGGGAGCTTAACGAACCGAGCCGTCGTAAAGTCGTAGTGTGTATTCTTTCCTAGGTTGATAGCCTCAAACAAGTACTTCGTGCCACTGGGTGAAGAGTTTGTAGTTTGCTTGACCTGTGTTGCCAAGATGCTCAGTGGAAGACTTCCGAGCACAAGACTTAAAAGAAATCACGTGTTTCTGAGCACGCGGACACCTTCATGAACCTGACATGCATGTGCCGGAAGCTGGATAATGACAGATGTGTTGATGCCAGTTTGAAGACAAGAGCCCCACATGTTTGTTGGGTTGAGTAACGGTGCCTCTCCGCAGAATGTAATCTTTGAACATCAGTCTGTGCTGCTGAAAGGTTTGCAGCATTGAGCTGCGTGCGCTCCCCCCGGAGTTGTCTTGCATGGGTCTGCCGATCATAGGTCACGCTTGTGCCGCGTATTCAGATGCATGCATCGGAATGACGTAGATTCCTGAGCATCGCATGTTTGCTGTACAGCAGAGCCAACTGGCCGCCATCACTTCGGACTGCAATGATTCTGTAGATGTGTTGCAGATCGCGGACCCGGAAGACTTGCCAGAAGCGGTGGAAGATCCTGGTCGCGTAGGCAAGGCTTGCGAAGACGGGATGTTCGGAAATCGGGAATCCCTGCCTTAAGGGTTTTGGAACTGACTTGCAGGCCTTGTTTTCCCGGGTTTCCCATTTTCCCGTGCGAAGTGATGTAGGGTGTCGTGGCCGCGGGTTCATTCAAGCTGCAGGCAAGTTCGACTAAACGCCAAGCGCCAAGCCATGGAGAGCAACCCCGAAACATGTCAAACTTGGGCAACAGGTCTTTCGCCCCGTCCGGATGCATGGCTCATGAGCTTACAAAGCCAACCTGGGCTTAGGCCTTATTTGATTCGCGCCTGTCCCAGGGTCCCAGGGACGGCAATTTCGATCCGCCCCTCTAGCACCATGTTGACCGCAAACATCTTTTCCGAAGCACAGAGCGGAGCCTGGGTCGTTAGTGTCCCCGTACAGTCTACAACAGCTTTCCCAAAACTAAGTTCTAAGCCTGACCAGGCCCTGCATGAGGCACATGGCAAAATGCATGCGCTTAACACAGGTGGCACAGTGCTCATCGTCACCTGCGGCATGAAGAGGCCACTGAAAACTCCAAGCGCAGGACGACCCTGATCGAAACAGTGGTTCTAGTGATTAAGGGGTTTAGGGTTTCACGTTTAGGATCTTGGGCACAATAAGAAGTGTACAAGCAGACTTCTGGATCGCATAACCTCGCGAGGGCTACTTGTAACTTTGAGTCTACTCCCCGACCCTCCAAGTAGGAGGTGTAAGACTGGGGTTCAACTTTACGGTGTAAAGTGTAAGGCAAGAAACTTACCGTTGTGAATTTCATAAAGCAGGTTTTGAGCAAGTTTGCTAAGACTTTGAGCTTTAGCACCTGCAGCTGTCAGCTTAGGGAGATTATATTATATATGTCCACGGAGGACGATCGGACAAACGTTGTTGGATGAAGGCTCAACCTCGCCTGTTGCATGGCTGCTTTTTTGTTTGCAAGATGACAATTCTATCCGGCTCGGACCAGCTTAGCCATTGTCAGATTGTGCACAAGTCAGAACTCATGTTCCCTCAGCATTTTGAGCTCTGAAGCGAAGTTCAGATCTGTTTTCCAGCTTCAGCACACTGCGGCCTCTTTTTGCGCACTTTCTGTACGGGCCGACTGAGCGCGGTTCATTTTCTCAAGGGGCTGGTTTTGGAAAGGACCTAGAGCATCATCGGCTTTACCAGCAGCACCTTTTGCCACGCAGAATACGAAGACAATGATGCTCTCTACTGGAAAATCACGTGTTCTTCGCCCTTTAGACTCTAATTGGGCCTCGGTCTCTCAGGTTGTGGAAGGCCTGCCTGATTAAGCTAGAACTTTGCAGTACATTGTAGTACATATTTGCATGCGTACACTGCGGGGTCTTAGTGCTTATTTCGTGCGCTGTTTGTTGTGTTTGTTTTCACAGCATTGCCGGTAAACTCGAATACGACGTACAGTATCCACCCCAACCCCGGTGTTGCCACTTGCTTCGGATGCTGTGCAGCATGTATCCGGGTGAAGTTTGCGATTTAGGATGGGGACCGTTGGATGTTTGCAGATTTCTTCGTAGGGGCAGGATAGTTTGTTCGTCGGTTCCCTCGTTTTCGAGACATGCGTGAGGAGTTCGCCTTGACAGCGACACAGACAAGCCTGAAGGCACGCGGTCCGATGCGGAAAGCGAGGACATCTTCAGAAAAAGTTGTATGGGAAGCTCAACATCGATGTTTTGCTCACACGCACCGGAGGACATGTCAGCATGCTGTGGCATGGGAGCAGTCGAGGTATGTCGAGGTCACGTCATGACGGTCAATCCTCGGCAGGATGAAGCCTCTGGAGGTGGCGATGCCGAGGAGACAGGCGCGGAGACAGGGATGCCCTTCCCATGGCCGCAGGACTTTCACAGGGTAAACTGGCCAAAGTATGAAACGCATGGTGTTCCACCCATCGCCACAAGCCATCAGGAATCAGCATCCCCTCGAGTTCTGCAACTTGCATTGGCTCCAAGCCCATGCTTCCTTGCCTTCTCAGAGCCAGGTCCTCGTGGTGCCGTGCGCCGCGCAGTGCGTGACCTCGGTGCTCCACGGGGTGCTGTCCTGGGTGCCTCAGAGCCCAACAGCTTCGGGGAGGTTGTGGCCGGGGCCTCGACAGGCGACGAAACATGCTTAACACATAGACTATTTGACAGGACATGGCTAGATGATGTTCTCAGCTTCAAGGTTCGAATCGTTTGCATGGCTCCTGGTCCGTTATAAAGCCATGGACATGCAGATTCAGGGAAGCCTTGCCGACTTCTTAGCAACTTGGGAGTTTCCGATGAGTCCCACTGAGCCTGTTTGCCTCTCCTGAACTCACAACCGCTAGTGACGCCTCTGATCACTGGATACGTAGTGTATCCGCTGAACGGCTAGCATCTCAATGATCGCACATAGGCCTATGTTTTCTTAGGTTTTCTCCGGTATGCGTCTCACACACACACACACACTTATACAGTCGATATCATACCTTCACTAAGCTTTCCACAACGGGGGCAGATTGCGGCGTCGCCTTGGAGCTGTGAATCCTGCATCCTTTGTCTGTGTTCCAACATGCCATTATCCTCCCGTGTTGGGCTGGGAGATGTCTAGATCTGCATATAGCCGCGTTCAGCACTCAGGTCTTGCTTGGCACTGTGAGTCTTGCTCAACCATGACAGGGCAGAGATGTCTTCCGATAGTTTTCAATGCATGCAAACCGAACTCGCCGAAGTCTGTGGTGAGAATCCACTGTAATTGGTGTTGAACTGTGAAGAGGTCGCGATGGCCCCCTTCTCCGGCGATGATGTCTTCGCCTGAGTTAGTGGTGTGTAGGAATTTTCTTCTGGTTTCGCTTGTGGAGAAATTTATTGAGGCATGTTCACGAAAAATTCTGCAGCTTGATGGTATTGTCTTTTGCAGCAAGCTCCTGAGATCAAAGGTTGTGTCCACTCCGGCAACTGTCAAGATATGTGTGTCAAGGCTGAGTACTCCAAATATATAAGACTTCCCCAAAGGTCAAGATTTTGCAGGTGCTACGCCTTTGTAGGAACCCGTATAGCAACCTCATGGAATCCCTGTAGCGATGGTAACACGAGGTCCTTCAGGTGCCACGAGAGCTTGCCCCGGGACGTGCTCGCCCCGTATTCGGTGCGCAACGTGCGAAGGCACCGCATCTGGGCAGGAGCCAGGGGTTCAAGGCCTTGGATATTCAAAGATGCACGAACTCTCAATGCCTTGGTCCTTGATTGGATAATAATGCTATGAAGCAACCTCTTGCATCATAAACCAATCTACAGCTCTTGACGCTCCTACTGAGTGTAGGTGGCGGTTCGACTCTTGGCGGCCGCAGGATTCCGCGCAAGCTGCAGGAAAGCATTGGCGTCTACTGCACAGCTCAGATGTGTTTTCGGATGTTGAGTTTCACCGACTTTTCGGGTTCAGGGATGTTTAGGGTTTATAGGGACTTTAGGTTTAGCTTCTTGATTTCCACAAAAACACTGGCAGAAACAAGATCAAAAGTCTATCCCGCACATCCTTAAGCAGTCCGAGCCTCCACAATGTCGCTGGCCAGGCGCTTCAGCTGCTTCCGAATCGTGTTCGAAGAGAGCTTAGCAGCATTCCAGCTACCAAGCACCGGCGGAAAAGAGCTGTCACCAGCCTCACCGTGATTTCAATGCCGCCAAGATGTCAGATTATAAGCTCCTGCCGCTTCTATCTGCCCGTGGCTCGAAGCTGGGAGGGCTGGCAGACTTGGCGGGAGTGCAGTGGCACTCAGCAGAGGTGGAGGACATGCTATCCTGCAGGGGTTATCATCGAACAGTTCCCTGTATTTGGAGATCTTTCATCTGTACATGGCTTAGAGGGTCTAGGTGGAAGAAGATGCGATATGCTTGAATATCAGTGCAGCACCGAGCCAGGACATGCGGCTTGTTCTGGCAGCTCTGGTAAACCCAGCGAGATTGCGGGGTCAGTTTCCTCGGAGTTTTTGAGCCTCAGAGACCTCCATGCTTTTGGGGGATGGTTGCACGTTTACCTAGATCATGTCCTGATGAACGGCCTGAGGAGGTGGATCTGCAAGTGTTGGTAGGCAGTCATAGGCAGTCTAAAATAACATATAAGACTCACCTGAAACGAAGGCCTATTTCTCAGTGGCATGCAGAGGAAATCGAGGTCTCACAAAAGAACAGCCCGCAGTCTTGTGGAGATCTGAATTTCTTAACCCTGCCTTAATTCTCCGCCAGATGTGCTTCTCCCTCCTTGGCATGGCCGCATCCGCACCTGGTGCGCGCCAAGGCCCAGAACGCAGCATCACAAGACGGGATGTACCCAGAGAGCCCAATACCCCTTAATTTAGGAATCTCGCTTAAATCATAACAATATGAATCCCCGTATTAGTTAAGGTATATATTGATTAAGGGGTATTGGGCTCTCTGGGTAGACCACTACTGGCAATGGGTTCACACTGAAGGATTGAAGGGAAAGTTTTCACAATTGGCCGATGTCGATGCAACAATGTACAGTAACAGCGTTTTGGTGCTCAGTTGCGCGAGCCATGCCTCCATTGCTGCTGACTGCTGAATGTTTCCACTGTAGGTATGCCTCCCACACCGAGCGCATGGTTTCGTGCCATGCTCCGGCACGAACGGGCATTAGCGTCGCCGTGTATCACTGTATATCTCTTGCCACTTGTTGCATCATGATGACTCGACCTCCAGGTGCATCAAGGCGGCTTTGTGAGGATGAAGAAGTTGCGTATGCCGCTGGGCCTGGGAATCGAATGGCTGAGGGTGGAAGGTCCTTGTGGAAGGTAGTTAGGTCGGGTAGTTGGGAGCAGAAGTAAGCGCAGATTTGTGCATGTGTGTGTGTGTGTTTGTTCACCGAATGAGCCAAGCCACACTTTGAACCCTGACAAGTTGTCATGTGAGCTCACACCCTGACGTGCTCCAACGATGCTTCCGAACGGATTCGAGGATACGCCGCCGAAAACATGGCAAAGCGCTCGTCATGGAAATATGACTCACATATACATAGTTAACTTGAGTCATGTAATAACTGATATTCTCTGTAGTTTTTGCAATTGAGTTGAATGCAGCTCGTCAAGTTTAATCGTTAATGCTGACTCCACTTCAAACACTGTAGAATGTCATGTCAGTCTCTCCCTCTCACTCTCTCTTTCTCTCTCTCTCTCTCTCTCTCTCTCTCTCTCTCTCTCTCTCTCTCTCTCTCTCTCTCTCTCTCTCTCTCTCTCTCACTCTCTCACTCTCTCACTCTCTCACTCTCTCACTCTCTCTCTCTCTCTCTCGCTCTCTCCCTCTCTCTGTTTATTTGTCTGTTTGTTTGTGTCGCTCTTTATCTCTCTCTCACTCCTCTCACTCCCCCTCTGCCGAATAACCTTTCACACACACACACAAGTACGCAGTTACATGCTCAATTATGTTATGCCCATACATATGACAAGGGAAGATACGTACATCCCCGCAGACATACCTACATACAATCATACATACAGACATACATCCGTTCATTCATACATGCATACATGCATACATACAGACATATCATGTGTGTACGTAATTATGTGTATAAACATCTGTATTTTTACATATCAACTCAAAATTCAAGTAGCTGAATGTGTGTGTGTGTGTGTGTGCATGCAAGCACCAATTGACGGAAACATGATTCTTTAGGACAGTTGAGCTACCAGGCGTCCTTGCGTGCAAGCCTGCATCAAAACAAGGACAATTTAGTCCTGTAGACCCCGTAGACCTGGAGTTGCCGAGGTCCCACTCACTGCCAAGAAAGAGTACCCGCTCGACGCCGGCATGATGGTCCTAGGCCAACCGGCATGCAATGAAGTGCTGTCGAAAGGTCGAGTATGCTTGCGTGATTAAGCTCACGGTATTGTCTGAGCCGAAAGGGATTGTTTAGGAGACCTTTCCTAGGTTTGGTTCAGCCCAATCCACGGTTTACCTAGGGCGATCAGAGCTTCGCATGAGCGTTAGTTGTCCACGGATCTATGTTCTGATAAAAGCGTAGAAGCGCCGCACCAGCCAACCCCTGATTTCAAACCGGCAGGTGAAGCCATTCACTATGAAGCCAAGTCGTACAGTCACATGCAACCTCAAAGGACACGTTCATGTAGAGCAACCCCCGCATGCATCAGGTGCCTTTACTGGTGCTTTGGGTGTGCCTTTGCTTTTCCTGTCGGGACCTCGAGATGTTGGTTAAAGACCAGGACTCGGGTTTTAGGGCTCCGGACTCGTGACTCTAGGCCTAAAGCTTGCTGTAAAACTACCACGACCTACTTATTTGTCTCAGGGTTTTTTGGGGGTTTCTGCGTTCTTGTTAAGGAGTTTAAATCTACGAGACCACAACAGGGATGTATAGTAAATGCTGCCGGCATGATTTCTTTACTATGATGTAACTTAAAATTAAAACCCCTTAAACCAGGACCCGCTCATGGGTGTGAGCTGATTGGAGGACCCAAGCTTCTTTCCGTTGCGGCAGCGTAGGCGGCCTCCGAAGGTTTGAAAGCCTTTCAATCTTCGCTGGCCCCATCCCTAAACCCTATAGGCCTTAAGCCGAACCCCCCCCCCTCCCCCCGAAAAAAAAAAATCATGAACCCTAAACCCTAAACCCTAAACAGGGTTTAGGGTTTAGGGTTAGATTGGGGATGTAGGTGGCCAGATGGCTCAGGATATGGGCCGTCCTGGAGAGACGAAAGCCGGAAGGCATCCTGACTTGGGATTCGGGGTTTTTGGGTTTTTAGGGTTGTAGGGTTTCGTTTCGAATGCCTGGGAGAGAGAGAGAGAGAGAGAGAGAGAGAGAGAGAGAGAGAAAAAAAGAGAGAGAGAGAGGGGTTTAGGGTTTGGGGGTTTGAGGGTTTTTGGGTTAAGGCACTATAGGGGGCCTGAATAATTACTTATAGCGTTCCTAGGGTTCCTTCAAAGGGGTCTGCAAGGGTCACTAATATGGGCTTCAAAACCCTATTCCAATTACGAAATATTCAGGGCCCCATATTATTGGGCTTGGGGTTTCGGGTTGAGGGCTGTTGGGCTTGGGATTTTGGCTTTAGGGCAAATAGGGCTTGGGATTTGGGGTTTCTTGGGTTTAGCGCTGAAAGGGCTTGGGGTTGAGATCCTTTAGGGTTTAGGGTTTCAGGACTACTCAGACGATTCAAGCCAGTGGCAGAGTCTAGGGGCTTTCAGGCTTCTTCCGCATAATCCGGTTGGTTTATGTTTCCAGCACGATAGCCAGCTTTCCTCGCAAGAGCAGCAATGCAAGACATGCAAGACAAGCACAGGGGAAACTGCTGGCGCTTCGGCCGGCTCCTACCCTCAGGCTTGTCATGCAACGAGTATACAAGAGGAGGCTTTAAATCCTCAAAGCCTACCGATCCAAAATCCATTTGAGAGCTTCTTCTAGGCCAAACCCTTGTACCAGTGCTTCCTGGCTTCGCAGGTGGCGCATTTGGCAAACTGCTTGGAGCGAGTGAGTGAATACCCGCCGGCCTGTAGGTAGAATATGGCCCAACACCAACGAAAGGACAGTATTCTACAGACTTTTAGGATCTATATAGGTAGGCTTCAGGTCCGGTTCATGGGCTCGTTGGGAAACACTTGGCTTTAAGTAATCAGCTCGCTACGAAGCCGGCGGGCAAGTTCCAGAGAATTGAAAGCCATCCTCTAAGAGGACGGCTACAGTGCTGGAGTTGTCAGAACCCTCCAGACCCTTCAGGTCAGCACTGCCTGGACAGCCCGGACCGTCAAACCCAGCTTGTTTTGTACCACATGCCAAGGCACCCAAAATGCCATGATAATTCCAGCCCTACACTCTACTGAAACAGTGAAGCTTTCCATCCTTAACCTGTTTGGTCACGGTCGCGCTGCTGATCTGCTGGACAACTCCCGGCCACCAGTCAAGCTCCCCCTGCTCCAGGCCAAGATTTATCAGTCTTTGATTGAATGTTTTGCCACATGCTTGCTTTCTTGCGCTCGGGCCCACGTCATTTCGAACTAGCCTTGGAGGTTGCGTGTAAAAGCCTAACAGAAGCACATACAGCCCTGTATAGTATGTAGGGGGAACGCGGAGCCTGAACTGGTTGGCACTTTCCAGCTGCTGCTGTCAGCTTAGCCCAGTATGCACTTGGCCTGAGCTGCTCCGCAGCTACCGAAAATGGCCACATGTTCACGGGGGGTGAGGCCGCCTACCTTTGAACGGCACAGGAAGTCTGCCCTCATCAATGTGAGTCCTACCCTGTCCCGGTGTCTCAATCGCAGAGTGCTTTTGCCCAAACGACCCAGTATACGAAGCTGGTAATCTAGAGTTTTACAGTTAAGTATCTAGGTGTATGTTTGCATGCATGCATGCGGGCGTGCAGACGTGCATGGTTGCATGTACGCCTGCAGCGTATTGTGCAGGTTTGTGTGCACGCATGTGTATGCTTGTAAGTATACGTGTGCACATATGTATGTGTATATATATATATATATACTTGCATGTATGTAACGTACGTAGGTTTGTTTGTGAGAATGTGTGTCGGGGTGTGTGGCGTGGATGATGGACATACATAGATATGTACATATAACTTAGATATACACGCCATCTTTGCTACGAGTGGATGTACATGCCTGCTGACACACATTACAGGCATAAATACATCCATGCACACATAAGGACAGAGAGATAGACATTCATTCATTCATTCACAGCAGGTCGCTCAGTCAGCATTGACTACTGCCTGAGCAGGAGGCATCCTACGGCCTCAGTATATATTCAAACTCCCTGCCTTTGAGCGGCAAGTCTTGCAAACAGCTGAATCCGTTTGCGCACGACCTGTGGCAGATAGACATGGACATGCATACGCACAAACAAACGCACTTAGTACGAACACGCAGAAGCACATGCATCCATGCTGCGCGCAACAGATATACACGCTCACACAGTCCTTCTTCAACACCATTCGCCGCTCACTCACCCACTCACTCACTTGCACACATACAATCAAATTGGTGCGCAGCATGCGTGCACATGTACAGTGTCCCTATGCGCATGCACACATCTCTCCATCTCTCTTCAGATGATTCATACACAGCAGGATGGGCTTCTCAGGCTTGCCTCGTTGTGTTTATTGCCTTCATTATTCCTCCTCGCTACAAACTTCTGCCTCGCGTGAGTGTCAGGCTTAGGCCAGAGCTTGGGTTGGAGAGCTGGGCACAACGATCGGTGCCACCGGATGCTCAGCGATCCACCCTTCAGGTCTGCGGCACAGATACATCTCCTTGTTTTCGCCGGCCGTCAAGTAGTAGCTTTTGGTTGGCGGGGCACCATCCCTGGTTATTCCGCCGGCGCTGGGCGGGGACCAGGCAAGGCGGATTCTTCACCGGGCCTCACTGTGCTTGGATAGTTCAGCTCCGAACATCGCTTGATTTCAGTGTCAGAATTGTAAGGACGACTCAAGGTGCGCTGTAGACAGGTGATATGCAGCAAGGGGTTCAGGGTTCATTTGATAATTACTGTTGCTAAAGTTGGAAAATAGGTCAAGTCTGAAAAGAGTGAGTGCCAAAGCCTGCGTGACAATCCTTAGACATCCCGTCCCAAACAAAACCTTTAACCTCACTGACTTCAATTACGCTACCCCCCAACACCTAAGCATGTATCCCCAATTTGATCCTGTAGCTCACTCGCTCGCAACCCTCAGTGGACTTAGGCTGGTAGGTTGGGCGTAGAGTTACGGCCAGCTAGTTGCTTCTTGTAAGGTCGAACACCTGCAACCTCAGACTTTAGACCTGAAGCGCCTATATAGCGGGTAATCATGGGGACCCTTAGGTGGGTAAGGGGGCGGGGGGTAGGGGACTATACTTCCTTAATCTGTTGTTAAGTCCTATAGGTTTTCTGGCCCCCTACCCCTCTCCCCGCTGTCCCCCCTGAGGATTCTCATGAGGTACCAGTAAGCAAGTCTTGATAACCTTACACCCTACAATCCTATGATCCGAAAGCCCTCGACTACAATCCGGTAAAAAGGAACCCTCTGCTCCCGCTCTAGGCCCAGACCAAAATCTCACACGCCTGAACCTTTGAACCTATAGCTTGCTCCAAACCTTATGACCTTACCATGGGCCTGCCAATGCAGTATACACACCGCTGTTGCAGAACCAATTTGACTGTTAGGATCCTATGTTTTGAGACTAAGCCAAGAAGGTACTACGCCATTTTCATGGTATGCCTCCCATAATAGTGTAACCCACCAATAAAACAGTACTAGAAAATGGGTTCCATGTCCAGGTATCCTCCAACTGCCTAAGTCCGAGCTTAAAATGATTACCGATATTAGTCCTTATGGTTCTGTTTAAAGTTATACTAGAAAGGAGCCCAAAACCCTGTCTACCTATTGCGGCCCCTATAGAATTATAGAACCTTGCTATAGAGCCCCAAGGGAGCCTTGTTCTAACTGCTCACGCCCCTAAAGGGTAAGTCCGGGGAGCCTCCCTTATGCAGGATGGGTGCCAACCTTTGCTCGCAGCAAGGCGACGGCTGGGAAGTCTCCGATTCTCCTTGGGATGAGGGTTTTCGTTGGGGCCTTGGGTCTAGGATTAATGATTAAATATTTAAGGGTTTTTGTTGGGGTTTTCGGGTTTAGTGTTTAGGGCTTGGGATTAGAGCTTATGAGCTTCCAGGTTTTCGGGGGGTTTCGGGTCTAGGAAAAGGGGCTTACAGGACAGTGCTATCTCTTTGAGGGTTCACTGTAGAGAGAGGAGCTCCGATAAAAAGCTTAGGCCCAGGCTACAAGGGACTCGCCAGTCTGAGCTTGGGATGGATACACTGTTCTTCCCTTGTGCGAGGATGCTGGTCAGTTTTGTTTCCGAGTAAGATACTGATGCCATGAACTCCTACGATTCCTATGGCCGCTAAGGTGGCTAGCTTTGGGACTTCGGGCTTTAAAGTATACGGGTGGAGCAGGGTTGAGGGAAAAGGGGTTGGAGGCCCTTGAGCACTTAACTCACTCACTAAACGCTAAACCAAAGGCCCTGAAGCCCGAAACCCGAACCTCTAAGCTCGAAGCGGAGTTTTCCGCCGATTTTTTCCAGTGGTGACAGTAATTCCGGTGAATTGTAACGACATGCTATTAGTTCGATTTGTTTGTTTGCTGGCTTTCGCAGTGTTGTTTTTTCCGCTCCATAGAGTCCATGTTGGTGTGGCGGCAAAGACTGAACTCTGATTCCCAAAGTTCGCGAGCACTGAACTCTCAACAAGATTAGCAGTGCATCTTCTTCCTGGACAGGCGCATTTTCCAGCTGCACGGCATGCACGACCATCGATGCAGCAGATTGGATCTTTTGCCTGGACACGCATGGGCAGGCCTCTCTTGGATGGGTTTCGGGGCCGGGAAGCACTCGTTCTATTATCCTTTGACGCAGTTGGATGCCGTTCCCCTTGAGATGACTCGATTGGGTGGGTGAGCACGAAGTGCTGTGTTGATATAACGAAAACATCAGCCCGCTGCTTCTGGGTTTGTTCAGGTTTTGCACTGGCCTTGCTCATAGTTGCACCATGTTGCAAATGCCGGCCACACAAGTAGTGACAAAGATAATGATCAGGTTGCACAAGTCCGCAAGCAGTCTCAAGGAAGCGTGTCGTGAGAGGTAACTGCAATCTCCAACACCCACTGCAGCACATAAACCAATCGCCCCATTTTCTTGGATGAAAAAGAAATGTGTCGTGTGCTCACTTGTGAGCCAATTGTATCCTCAAACCGACTTCAAGCTGCACTTAGGCGCCGTGCGCCCGAACACGATTTCCGCACCCTCGTATCCCCAAATCTGCAGACTGCAGACAAATACGCGAGATTCGACAGGTGGAAACGAAGCGGCTGCGGAAAGCTAAGGCAGGGGGGCGGGGGTAGGTTTCTCAGGAGGGCTTTGACACGGCGTTGCACGGACATTCCGGGAAGACACCCTAAAGCAGGAAAGCACCCTATAACTATAACCCTAGGCGCAGTGTGCCGGCCTTCCGATCACCCCGAGAATGGCTGAAGACTATAGTTTATGCATGCATACATATACATACATGCATACATATGCTACATTGTATAGAAGCATTCGCGCGTGCTTTTCCATCACCGATCCTGCACAGAATGCAGCCTGTAGGATTCAGGGTTCAACCTTGGTGAGGAGCAGCTGGCAGTGCACTCATCAGAAGCAGTCCGGCAGACAAAACGCAGCCCACGCCTTTATTAAATCACCGCTGTCACAAAGGGTGACCGCAAATTCCCATCTCCGAAAGCAGTAGATGTGGCTCCCTTGCCTTCCTTTTGGCTGTGATGATGATGACGATGATGATGATGATGACGATGACGGTTACTTTGTTCAGTGGTCCTACGCACGCAGGTGACAGTCTTGATTTGTTGAAGCTCGCTACCGCCATTGTCAAGAGAAACATATCGCAACCTCTGCTTTGATGCTAGAAGCAAGATGGCTCTTACGGAATACGGGCATTATGG